TTAAAAAACGTCTAGTAATTACGAGTGTGAAGGAAAAATGAAGCTGTAGTTATCCATGCCAGTTCTTATCATTATGCTAGTCCTTTCGTAAATATTCAAAATCAAATATGACATACACTCATATCATATGCAATCTTCCACTGAAGGACCACACGAGGAAGCTTCAAATATCAACTTAATGAAAAGGAAAATTAGTTCCAACCCCCACCAAGTTTTATTGCCAGAAAAATGTCATCTTCCTACAAATTGGATAATCATTTAGAAGATGGTTCCAAATTGTTCCAAAAGGGTATCACATTAAATTATTTGGCCTATAAAATGGATTTCTCAGCTAAACTGACAAAAAACAAACAAGCAAACAAACAAACAAACAAAACCAAAGGATTTCCTCAGACATGGCTGAAGTTACTCTGATCCCATTTTTTTTTTTTAAGTACGTGAACGTAAGATTGCCTTTGATATTTCCTTCCAGAACTTTCTGAATGTGACATATGAGCGATAGTAAAAAGGCAAACATGACATTCATTTTCTTCAAATTTAGTGATTTAGGTTTTTGTTTGTGTGTGTGTGCATGCCCATGCATGCGTGTGTCTGACAATGTGAGGTCACCTGTGACTACAGTCAAGGATGGTTCTGAACCACCAGGGTTGGCCACTGAACGATGGTCCTCTGCAAGAACAGCCAGAGCTCTTCATTGCTGAACCATTTCTCCAGCCCTCAAACATGCTACCTGTGAAGAGCTAAGTTATATGAAGAGAGCTCCTTTCAACTGAGCTAATTATTTTCCAAATCTGTGGAGAATGCAAATAGAGAAACCACAGTTCCATACCCAAAGCAGGTGGCTACACCACGGCCTCTCAACACAGCTGGTTTCACAATCAATAATGACCAGTTGCTCAGTGAAATTTGGGAAGTGTTGTTTGATTTATGTTTTTGACAAAAGTTACTTTAGGGGAAAAAGGACCAAAACTTAAGTAGAGGACTGGGCAGGTGTTTGATCAGGTCTGCAGATTTTAGAAAGACTATTTCATTAAATTGAAGACTTAACATAGACTATCAATTAAGAGATGAGCTGTAATATTAACTCACTTTCTATTTATCAATGTTGGTAAAAAAAATTAACAATGTTGTAAAATTAGGAGTTAATACAATGGCATGTATGTGAGCACACGATAATAATGCTCCCATTACGTCCCATCTCATAATGTTGGTACTTGAATGATAACGCTGTAAGGAAAACCATTACTTTATATGCTTACTTGAAATCTTAGTAAAAAGGGCTGGAGAGATGGTTCAGCAGTTAAGAGAATGTATTGCTCTTGCAGAGGATGCAAATATTGTTCCCATCCTGTAACACCAGGTCCAGAGGACCCAACACCCTCTTCTGCATGTGTGTGCACATGCAAGAGTACAGGCATACAAATCTTTAAAAAGTAAATGATACAAAAATAAAATGTTGATAAGAAAATAAAATTAAGAAGAAATTTGATACCAGTAACAAACAGGCTTGATTCAAATATTACTCATCCTGTAAACACTGGGCCCCTGGAGAGGGCAGAATTAACATACACATAGAAACAGCCAAGGACATAGTTTTGTTATTTTAGGAAATCTTAGCTAAGGATTAATCTACAAACACAGACATCACCTGTAGGCTTCTTTCTGTATAAGAAACTGGCCTTGACTCCTCATTTTGACTGGTCATCTAAACTGTTCCTTCAGAAGCAAAACAGAGGAGACTCCAACACCTGGGAACTTCACTACAGCTTAACGGCCCACACATCATCCACTTGGAGACCCCTCTCCACCGCAAGCCTTGGGAGGGAGCGCCTTCACAGGCTCCATGAGATCTCAGGAAGTGAGTGGGTCACAGAGACCAGGGGAAGTCTCTCCTGGGTGTGGCTAATCTCTCCTAAGAGGCACACTTACGGAAGGGACATGGACTCCAGATGTGGGAGGGGATACGGTTTGGAGGAAAACCTTTAGATGATACAGGCGTCTCATCTCCCGCCCAGCTGCTTCCATGTGATAATAAATAAAGATGAATGCTCAGGGCTAGAGGGGACGGGACACAAGATTTATGTGTCACTTCACATTTGTATATACCTACTTCAGGTTTAATCCAGGCAACTACAACAAAACTCATCCAGAAAGCACTCAGTTAATGTCACGTTGTACCTCCTCACCTGTCATTTCCAACACATCTCTGAACCTCCTGCTTTTAAGCTACAAGGATCTTACATTGCACATAAATGTGTCATTCCTGGATTATGATACCCATTGAGAAATCTAGCGGCAATAGACGGTCTGTATTTTTAAAAACCATGCAATACTGTTTGTGCCCTATTCAGATAGCTTTCCGTTTCTTAACTGACTAAAGTTTATTTTTAAAGTACCTCCATTCTCTTGAGGCCAGACTTCCGGAGACTTCAAGAATTGCCAAGAAGGTTTACTCTAAGATTTGGAAATATGTATCCAGCAGCTACAGTGAACAGATTATGAATGCCAAGGAAAGGTGAGCCTGGGTAAAAACCCAGACTCCAAGGGCTGCTGACATGTGAGGCTGTTTAGCCTGGTGATGAGGGGCACCTGCCTGTCAGCAGAGCCTCCAAAACCTATGTACCTGAACCGGAACGAGGGAGTGAGGAAGAGCAGTAGTCCAGGAAGGAAACACGAGGAAATAAAAGGACAAAATAAAGCAGGAAAGAGAGAAGACAAGCCACAAGCAGACATGGGTCCCTCTGTCCCCACAGAGAGAGCCAACAGCTGTTGGGGGAAACACTCAGCAAGGGCTGCCACTCTGGAAGCCAGAAGCCCGGGGCACCTTCTGGGCCTGGCTACGGCTGTGGTCAGGCTGGGCAGGGCTGTGTCGGGAGTGGGAAGAGAGGAAAGACAGAGGAAAGGTGACAGCCACTTAGCTCTGATGAGCACAGTTTCTTGGCAGAAGGAAGCAAGCAGGTCAGAGTCGATTAACTTCCAAACCGGCTGCTGGTCTCTGGCAGCAGGCGAAGCTGCAGTCACCAGCAGCTGAAGAGAGGGACCTACATCACAGGCCATCCTGACACAGGACTTCAGGGGTCCTGGAGGACCCAAGCTCAGGAGATGCCGTGACAAAGACGGGCAGGACTAAAGGAAAGCAAAAGCAACTAAGGGAATATCTTTGAATGAGGTTAGGACTTCAGAGGTGTTGTCTCGGTAATTATTGCGAACCATCTTCTAGGGAAAACAAAGGTAATCGGATATAGGCTGCACCCAAGGGAAAGTCTTCCTGTGGGAAGACAAGAGGGGACAAGGAGAAACAGGAGGGATGAACGGGGGAAAGGGCAGCATATGAAGTATGGAAATTCATAATTAAACGCTTTATGCTACATAATTAGTATATGCTAGTGAAACATATTTTCTTAGACCGAACCCAGGATCTTACATGTGCTATGGGACCTAGCGAGCCACTCTGATTCCGGGCCACATTCCTAGCCTTCTTTTCTTACTTTCAGACAAGGTCTCACTAATTTGCCCCTGCCTTTGTTCAAACTTGCAATCCCCCTGACTCAGCCTCTCAAGTAACTTCAGTTATAGGCCATAAGTAAAACTAGAACCAGATGTAAATTTCTCTGTATGATGTTATTTTCTACTTACAATGTAAAACAGCTGCCAATGGTTGAAAATGTGATGCTAGAGAGTTCAGGGGTGAATTACTGAAAATGGACAAAAAGAACACTCTGCCCCCACAGTTCTGACTTACCGGAGTCTTTGGGAAATTTGAAAAAGGACTATTTTATAACTGCAGGCTTTGCTGAGGGTAGAGAACCCATTCTACGCAACACAGGACTCACACTGAGGCACGCAGTTCATGTCTACTGTTAGTTTTCAAAGTTCTAGAGGCTGTGCTGGTTCACCCCAGGAACCACGGATTAGTTAGAAAACACACTGTATTGTTCTCAAGAGGTTCTTTGAGAAAAAAAAAAAAAAAAAATGACAATGTCTAATATCATAGGAAAAGGCAAAAGGGGGAAATATGAAGTACATAATTAAACAAAAGCAAAATTAAGTTTAGATTATGAAGTCAAGAAATTGAACATTGGGTATTAAAGAAATTCTGTGACTGTGGCATCTTTCCCCTATAGCCTAAAAATAATCCACGCTTGTTCAAGCAGTTTACCATCAGTTGGTAATGTTCCTTACTTCTATGTGAATGAAAAGTCAAGGGAGGGATGCTTTCCCTTCCCTCATTTTTATCCGCTTAGGTAATAGTAAGTCTTCAAGAGTCGCAGCTATAAGGACTTTTTCTAAGATAACTGCTGATCTGGGACGTACCCTGGAAGGAGGAATTAGATTTGTGGTTGGAAAAGCACTCCATTCTAAAAGCACTGAATTCGGAATAAACCAATATGACTTTCCAAGTTTAGGGCTCTGGGAGAATGAAACAAACCACATTCCAAGACAGGACAAGTCAATGCCTTAGGATTTAATAGCTCATACAACGATTAATGCTCATTCCATATCTTTCTCATTAGCAAAGACACTGCATGAAATTAGCTCAAAAAATGTGCCAGACAGAAATGTGAACCAAAAGAACTAACCACTTTCTACATTAAAGAAGCAGGTGTGTGTGTGTGTGTGTGCGCACGCGCGCGTGCGTGCAGGAGCATATCACAGTCAGTGGTCTAGTTAGTAACCATACTATTATCCTATTTTATTAAACCACACCTAAATACGGAATTGCTTTCAGGACTTAAAAATAGAAGTTATGGGCTCTGATAATCTCAAAGCTAAGACAGCTGCTAATGGAAAGGGTATGTACAGAAGGATGAACACTTCATCCTCTCCATTATCTGCAGGTAACTATGACACTGGAAGTCAGACTGTAGCTAGAAAATCAGTCTGAAAAGATTAGATTATTTCTAAAACAACGTCTAAGCCAGCGAAAAGGTGGGAGAAGGAAAGACTCCACCACCACGTACCACGTATGCGTGGTGTCGGGCAGCTGGGCAGTTTCTTACCCTGAATGTTGTACAGTCGCACTTTATGAGTCACATGTTCAAAGAAGCAGGTCACGTCTGAATAGACCCTCCCGCGGGTCACTCTGACAAAGGGCGGTCGTAGGGAAACATACGGCTGCAGAGGAAGGGACATTTTTAGGAAAAACACTTGGGTTTCTGAACATTCCCAAAGTATTTAGAACAGTGTGTGGAATGGCAAATCTATACAATTCAATATTCATAATGACATGAAAATCTCATAACTTACCAGAATACACAGGATATAAACAATGGACTTAAGGTAAGACTTTTTTTCTTACAAAAAAATTATAAGGCCTGGATTTGCAAATGCTTACCATTTGATTGGCCTTAGATAATTTCCAAACATTTACATCTATAAAAAATTCTAATTAAAATTCTTCTATTGTCAATATAGTTGTTTATTGGAAGTGAACTCACTCTAAGTACAGACATTTCCCAGGCCAGCGTTTATGACCAGGTCCCCTGGTCATTGTCCCAACAAGATGGAACAATGCAAATAGGATGCAAGGCTCACAAACAGTTTAATCACGGTGAGGCTTACTGAGCAGCAAAGAGCTGGCTAAAGAGAAAGCAAATACAAGACCTTGGAAACCATTGGTTTAGTTTTCATTATTTAGAATCAAGAGAATTAGGGACTAAAGCACACAATGTATGTGACTTGAGAGCAAATCTAAAGCGTCTACTTAAGTATTGTTTACTTAGCTCAATGGGAGCATGAGGCCAGGCTTTTGATGGAGCATGCTTGAGCAATGAGAGACTCCCAGAGTTGTGTGACTTTATGCAAGCCTACTTCTTTGTCCATAGGAAAACATAGTAAAGCCAATAAAACATGTGCCTTTTACAGGGTTCTTTCACGTAATTACCATACAACTAGGAAATGGGGAGGAATGGGAACTGGGGTGGAGGTTTCTGGACATCGACTGTCTTCTGATAGAGTCAGCTACCTCTTCCCTGATATTCTAACACTTTTACTTTAGCCTTTATAATATTTTCATCTAATAGCACAGGTTTTCAAAGGTAAAATAATTTAATTACGATTGTCCATACGTAATATTCCATAGGCATCATGGGAGGCTGAGGCACATGGATCGTGAGTTCTAAGCCAGCCTGGGTTGCATACATACTGAGGCCCAGTCTTAATCTAAATAATAATAATAATAATAATAATAATAAAATCAAAACAAACAAAGACTCCGAACCAATAACTATTCAGTGAAGAAGCTATGAAGTTCTGGAGTAGATCCTAGAACCTGTAACTTACCTACAATTTTTTACTGGCTTGACCACTGAACAAACACACTACTTCAGTGTGGCCCATCTAATCCCTAAAAGTCCATTTTAGTGGGAAGCTTCTCCAAATCTTAGAAGGAAAACTAAATTTCTCAGCAGATTAGCCATCAGGCAAGAGAACATTAAGACAAGCCACTCATCTTAGAGGGGGTTGTGAGCATGCTCAAAAGGAAAGACCAAAACCAGGTCTGAATGCTGGCAGTGATTTTCACAGGACTGCATGGTAATAAATGCCACTGCTTTCCTCACGTTAGCTACATTTTCAAATGTGCCAGGCTCTGTGTGTTGCTTTTATAGTCAAGAGTAGGGGGAAATACTGTTTATTAAATCCCAAAAGGACAGAGGGAAGTGATCTAGTGAACAATACTGTCCCCGCGGGGCAGAGTGTAGCACAGCTATGCAGAACCTCAAATCACCTTCCTGCCAGCCAGGTCTAGATTAGCTTTCTTCATGCTGACCGGGTCTAGAGTAGCTTCCTTCCTAGAGAGTATGAGCTAGATCTAGAGTAGCTTCCTTCATAGAGAGTTCTAGCCAGGTCTAGAGTAGCTTCCTTCATAGAGAGTTCTAGCCAGGCCTAGAGTAGCTTCTTTCATGGAGAACACTCAGGTCTTTGTGGCTTCCTAACTGAATTCCAGCTCTGACACATCTAACATTCAAGTTTCAACTGCCATCAACCTTTAATCAGGATAAATATCCACAGCTAAGAGTTGATCAGTCCCCAGTGATAAACTAGTGAGACATATGAGACATGCTAACCTTTGTCCTTAGCTCTGTCTGTCTATCTATCTATCTACCTATCTACCTACCTACCTACCTACCTACCTACCTACCTACCTACCTACCTATCTATCTATCTGTTTATTTGAGGCAGGGTTTCTCTGTGTGTCCCTAGCTGCCCTGGTACTCGACTATAGACCAGGCTGGCCTTGAACTCACAGAGACCTGCAGGCCTCTGCCTCCCGAGTGCTGGGATCAAGGGCGTGCGCCACCATCCAGCAACAAGCACTGGTGCTGTATAAACATGGGTGCCTCCTGTCCCTGCAGCAACACTCACCTGGCCCTGCCCATCAGGCAGGAAGAGATAGGCGCCACTTTTGTCCCTTTTATTTGTGGTCCCGTACCATAGAAACTGCACCTTTATTTCCTGTTGCTTGCCATCTTCTTTCATTCTTACTTTCTAAGGATCATAAAACAACAAGAACAAAAAACAAAAAACAAACAAACAAAAAAACAGAAATTAGTTATCAAAATGCCAGCAGACTGAGCTAAGAATGAAAACCAAAATACGAAAGGCAGTAAGACAAAACTGAATGCGTATTCTCAAAACAGAAGACACCAAAATCCACCGGGTCACATGCGCAAGCAGGGCTAGGGAGGAGGCTCAGTGGTTAAGAGCAATGGCTGCTCTCGCAAAGGACCTGGGTTTGGCTTCCAGGACCCATATGGCAGCTCACTACCACCTGTAACTCCAATTCTTAGGAATCAGATGCCCACCTGATCACCTCAGGCACTAGGATCCTGGGTACACACACTCGTGAAAGGAAAACACAAATAAACATACAATTTTTAAAAATTCTGGTGTATTTTGGAAGGCTAAAGCACAAGGATTATGAAAGCTTAAGGGTAGCCTGGGCTTAATAATGCGTTCCAGGCAAGCCTGGGCTACTCAGACTCACCCTATCTCCAAAAAAGAAAAAGAGGGAGTGGGTGGGCCTAAAAATTCCTAAGGTATGCATCTAACATTTGAAATATTCGGTTGGACATCAAAATTTTATAGTTAGCCTCAGATTTTAAACCCTTAAAATAGAAACTAAGAGTAACAATGTACTTCAGCAAGGAGCTTGGACTTACACCTCTCAAACTTCTATAGAACACTTGCTTAACTGTCAACATGCATGAGCCAATTTTAAAACACAGTAAAAGTGAACAAAAAATGAGGATTAGTTCAAAGGAAACTCACTTTGTATTTTATTCAATAGATATCATATTCTGTTAAACTGCTTTCCAAAGTTTCCATAAACACTTTGAACTACCACACCCACCTAATGGATGAACAGCACCCCTGTGCATCACACCGTGAGAGGTCCCACTGCACCTCTGCACATGTGAACAGCACCCCTGCACGCCACACTGTGAGCCACACCCCTGCACACATGAGCAGCATACCCACAGACAGTAGGCAGCAGCTAATCAATCCCGTCTCAAAGTGTCTGCTGTTGCAGTCCTGGGTTAGGAGCTCTACCCCATCTGCATAGTAATGCTCATATGTAGTAAACACAATAAGCTCTCTACGGTTGTCATGATTATTGAGAACATACCTCCATAAGCCCAGATCGGTCAAACCAGAGTTCAAGGAAGGCATTCTCTATGGTTATGGCATCCCCCGGATCTACAATGTTCTTCATGTGAAATACTCCATTTTCTGCTACTCCATCATTGTACAGGAAGTAATCAGCCTTGTGTGAACTTGAACTCTGAGAGTCTAAGATCTTATACACTTTCATTCCCAGTGGTGGTGTATGAGCTAGAAAAGAAACCTTTAGAGACAGGAAACGGGGTTACTGTAGAGAAAAATCACCTATCAAACCATCTATCGATGGGGAAACATTTACATTTGTGGTGAAAACATGGCGCGTCACTGCATATGAATGCTTAGTAGATTGGTCAGGTCACTCAGGTCATCCAGGAATCTAGTCACCTCGGGTTGGAAAGCTGACTAAAGGCATACACGTTTTCACCCCTCCTGTGAAATCATACCACCATCTTTCGATGTCCCAGTGTTCCCAACAGATACCTGGCGGCAGAAACTCTCCGGGAAGCTAAGGACTTAATGTAAACAATATCTCCTTCCTAATTATCAGAACTCCTTTTGCAATGTTATATTCAGTGTGTTTAAAGGAAAAGTGTGGTTATAGAAATGTGCCATTATCAGTTCAGTCGGCACTAGCTATCACAAGCTGCCCTGGAGCTAGCAGGCACTGAGCAAGGCCTGGAGGAGGCGCTGTGTGAGCTGGTCTGTCTCTGGAGAGCTGTCTCAACACTTCTGAGGTAGGCTGTCAGGTCTGGCCTGAGTGTGAACTCCACTTCCCATTTTCTTTACAGGACAGTGACTATATGAGCTGCACCAGTGATGGTATTCGAAAAGCAGACGTGACTGCCCCTTAGTTTATCACCATGTCTCTATACGTAATTAAATCACCTCCAGACTCCAAATACTGATGTTTCCAGTGATAAAACTGCCTGTCTAAGAGACACAGACATACAGACACACAAACACACACAGAGGCACCCACATACATACAGAGACAATACAGAGACACCACACACACACACACACACACACACGTACACACACACATACATACACACACACATACACACACATACACACACATACACACACAGACACACACACAGACACACACACAGACACACATATACACACAAACACACACAGTCTCTATTGGTTCAATTCCATAATTACATCTCCAAAAAAGGTATTTTAATAATCTGAGTTAAAAGTTTCTTTCCCAGGACATATTAAGTCACCATTGCAATGAAAAATAACAACTAACAGCATTACCATTAAAAATGGTGCCATTTATCTCCGTTCTATATGTATCATTATCACTGAGTTACATATAAAAATTTAAAAATTTATTAGCTTATAATTTTAATATGCATACTTAAAAAGATACACACAACCTACCAGTAAAATATTACATGCTAAAACAGTAATATTTTTCCTTTAGCATCATTCAGCTACCCAGTAACATCCTCTGGTGTTAGACTTTTGTTCCATTACTCAGCTTGATGGGTATGAGGTGGGTTACGCAGGTACAAGCTTCGGATCCTGACTATTACGCAGGTAGAAGCTCTAGAGCCTGAGCATGTTTTTCCTTTTTGTACTGCATCTTTTTTAGTGTCTTGTCAGCTCTACGGCCATGGCATACCTCGTAGGCTGACTGTGAAATCGTTCTCGCATCACTCCAGACTGCACTGACTTGAACCTCCACAGGTTTTCCTGAGTCAGACATCACTCGCACTGTGGCCGAGTTCACACAGATGGACACCACCGAGTGCCGTTCCTGTTCAAAGGGGTTGTAGACCACGAGGTACCTGCAGAGACAGCTGTGTCAACACTGCGAGCTCAAAACACTTTCCTATCTCTAAGCACCGTCTCCTGAGACTCCGATTCCCAGCCAAGGACAATACACAGGGAAGCCTGGCGTGGCGGCGTAGGCCTTTGGTCCCAGCAGGCGGATCTGAGTATAGGGGCCAGCCTGGTCTACAGAGAAAGTCCCAGGACAGCCAGGGCTACACAGGGAAAACCCAATCAACCAAACAACAACAAAAGAAAACCCAGGGAATGAAAAGGACCATCCTGAGAGAATGCCGGCAGAGTGGCATTTCCTCACAACAAATAGCACACAGTACACGCAGCTAGAAAAGTACCCTTGGAAAATGAAACAGTCTACCAATGTTCCATGTTAATATGCATAGGAAACATTTTCTATACTCCCCCAAATGACATATATGTATCGTTTTAGTTATCTTAAAGGATCAGTTCTTTAATATTCTGGTTCCTGGCTCACTGTCTTGACAAAAATAAAAATTAAATGTCTTTGCAATTTAGGCATAATTAACTTCCAATAAAAATCTGACACTCTTTTTAGATCAGTAAAACAGAGTAACTTGTGTGATTATACATGTAAATCTCATAATGCACACATATATTTTATAGAGAGGGCCCTTACTGCTATGCACCAGAAACTTGGTTCTGGCATGAAAACAAGTTTACTTAAAGTAAATCTAGTTATAAGACGGCCCAAAAATGTATGAGAAAAACAACTGAAAATAAAAATTGATGGGGACGCAGTCAAAAGAAGGAAAAGTAAAAGAGTAAAAGAGTAACTTCTGTTGATATCTGCAACAATGCATAATTATTAGCATGAACAAACCACGAGCTGCTATCCTGGTGGACGAGCACTGGACACACATGTTTAATTTTTCAGGGGGCCTTCAGGCGTAACTATTCGGAAAAGACATCTACTGCCCTCCTGCTCCTTCCTTGGCTCTCTCAGTCCTGTGGCATGGGAATCAGCCTCCACTGAAGCATCCCCATCCGTTCTTTCCTCGCTGTCCCAGCCCCTCCTGATGCTGCTTCACAGGGTAGCAGAGATGACGTACACCGCCATGTGACAGCCTCGGGAAACGATGTCACGCCACACCTCGCTTACATCCGAGCATCTCCAAATAAACAGCATTTAAAAAAGAACGGGCTGATGTTGTTCACTGACTCATTAGTGAATATCTTTATGATCTAAAATATCTAAAACCTCCCCCATTAACACATAACATCTACAGTAGGCACAACCTCCCCTATTGACGCATGACTGCCAGGGCCCATAAAGATGGCTCTGCTTCATCTTGACTCAAAACCAGAGAGTTCAAAACTGTCTTTAGTCTTCCAAGGTCAAAGTCATAAGATGTAAAGGTCTAAGGCTACTGTAGGGTGTTTGATCTTGGTTGTGGATGCCTTATCTAGATAACAACAGACTTGGTCTGAGGTGTGGCTACTCTTGACCCACAAGGCCAGATAATGTTTGGAGAATTAAGGGAAGATGGTCTTTTGCTCCTTATGCAGCATAAAGAAGTCTTCTGCCATGTCCCCTTTAGCTTGGAGTACTTAAGAAAGCTGAATAATAAACGTGGGGCATCCAATATTCACTGGATTTCCCTCCCGACTCCATCCTGTTTCTTTGTCTTTTTCTTAGCAGTGTCTTGACCTGCCATTTCTCAATCCACACTCCCCCTTCTCAGGCAAGTCAGCTGGACCCAACCGAAGCCCCACAAAGATGGGCTGCAACAGATGGGTGCCACAGTGTGGAGCTACTACAGACGGCTACAACACATAACCTCTACAGCACTTTCAAGACAGCTTCCTTTTGTTCAACTACACCAGAAAGTCATCATACACGTGTTTTCTATACATATTCATTTTCATACACATGACAAGCCATTCATTAAGAAATAAGTACCTAACAGAGCAAAACAGAGGGCATGGAAAGAAAAAAAAAATGAAATAAAGACAATAAAGCACAAAATTTATAAACCATCTCACTTATAAATTGCTTAGCAGGAGACACATTTATGTCTTAAATGTTACTCTGGGATACTGCAGGTGATATAATTGCTAAAAATGCCTCTAGTCCTGGAGGCTGATAAGTCTCCACACCAGGACAAAGAGACCTAACCTGCAGGCCTGTCTCCATGGATTCATTGGTATTTCATATGCATGGACAAGAGCAGATGAAAGAAGACACCAGGTACAAACATATTTACAAAGAGCACTAAGCATCCTACCAGTCCTTAGGGCCACCTTAGTATCAGAAGCAATTTTCAAGGAAAGTCAGTGTGGCGCCTAGAGAGAGGCATCCAACAGATTGACAAACTTGACCACCAGTTCGAGCCCTATCAATCCTCATTGCCATAGATTTTGCTTTTGAATGGCTCTCCACTGTTCACAAACATACTCAGACAATCACTGTGCCAGGATTTTGGGTCACCAGAGAACTATGGGAGACTCCAAAAGCGCATAGGGGGAGAACAGCGGAGGCCACGCATCCCAGAGTGCCCAAAATGAACGCTTTATGACTACAATCTACAATTTCAGAGGCTTCCAAAGCTAGAACATGAAGGAACATACAGGCCTGGTACATCCCACATAACCGGAAATGCACTGAGTTTGGAAGCCTGCTGGTAAAAACTCTTTACAGAGCAGTTGTGAGGGCTGAGCTACAGACTGGAGACGCACGTTAATTAACACCCAGAACACTGATTCCTTCCCACAGAAAACTTGAAAAATGACTCACATTTAATTTCAGTTTTAAGCATACATTTGGGTTTGTACTGTATGAAATCCTGTCATACAGTAAGCTGCGAACTAGGTTGGTTTTGTTTTGTTTCATTTAAGTAGATAATTAGTATTTGACCATAATGATGTTTCTACTGTATTGAATGATTATGTAATTATTGTGCCAAGAATCTATTTAAAAAAAAAAAACTAAATATGTAGAATATTAATGAGTAAAACGCACGGTAAGAAAATAATGTCTAACATAATTAGAGATTCATAGCATGCTGTTCAAGGACATGACAATAAAAATCTGCCTGGCATACACACAAACCCCTAGTTTACATTTTAAGTGGGATACAGAGAAAGCATAATCATGAATTATATTTTTTTATGAATTAAGTAGACCCTCCAAGTTACCTAAATTCCCTGGCTACTGTAATGTTTGGCAGTCAAGTAACCAACTGAGCAGCAATGAGACCCTCAGCAGGCATTTCTTTTTCTAAAAGAAATACTATTTCTCTTGGAATTTCGAACAATCTGGTTCTGGTAGGATCCTACTGCTGAAAACATCGCACACCCGAGAACATGGACAAACCAGGCCAGGACTGCCGTGAAGTTTCTCCCCTCCCGGACAGCTCTCAGAGAAGAGGAAGGTGATGTGCAGGCACCCGGAGGAGAAAGGTAGCCACCACTCTCACCGTGGTAGGAACCCTGCCAGTCACATTCACGAATGACCAGGCAAAGCTTGCCACTAGTGCAGCTGTGGCACAAAAGCCATAGGAGTAGAGTAAGCATGGGTTGCTTCGAGCCCTCTGGGTGTGAATGACAACTTTGAGTGTATTATCACTTACCTACTTATTTCCATAGCAACAAGAATATTATTGATAGCCTGGAAATGGGGAGGCTTTGTTTCTCTTTTAGGTAGTTCCTAACTGAGCAGGGAACCTGTTTTCTTAAAACCCTTTTCCTCCAAGTTTGTTCACATATGCATTAGTGCCTTAGACGCTGACTGTCACCGAGTCATGTCTGCCCCCCTCCCCCAGTCTCATTGTGACACCAGGGCTTCACAATTTGGTGTTATGGGCAATTATTTTAATTCTTCAGAAGAACAGCTCATCTCATGGAGAAAAAGCACTCATTTGTTACCTGTCAATCAAAATACAAAGCAGGAGAATAATGGACTTCAGCAAGGAGACAAAAATAGTGACAGGCCACTGGAATGTTCATGTCAATCTAGAGGACCTGGAATGTCACTCCCAAAAAGCGACTGTCCTTTGAAAATGTGCGGAGGAGAAGGAAACCCGGAGTCCCTTCTGCCTTTGGGCACAGATGACTGACATGAGGTTAGGAAGGACATCCCTCTCCAAGGCACAAACCGCATCAGGGCCTAACAAGCACCGTGTGCGGGGCTTCTTATGTCTGGAAGGCTCAGCATCTCATCCTTCTCACAAGTCAGGTTCTGCCAAGGCGAGAATGTCATCAAGACCTACCAGTCAAAAGCACCGCAATCCTGAGTCCCTCTCCTAACCATGCTGCTCATAGCCAAGTACCCGTGGGCCATTTGGCAGCTGGGCTTTCTGTGGAGATTCCCACACTGCCAAGCACGTGAGAAGATTTTTCTGTTCAGCTGCCCGAAGCATGCTCACAGAGGAGACTCTCCTTGGGACTCTTGGGGTGAACAGGAAGTATTACATTTAAAATATATTATACCTATAAAAGAAAACTTGTAAACAAATGTTCAGTAGATAAAGCTGAAGAATGAGTAATAGAGAAAAATTTAACTTGTAGAATTTATCATGTATAAGTAGTATAAATAATACCTAGTAGTGTGGGGCTTCATGATTTTATCAGTGCGCCTCTCTTCAATTATTTTTATTCCTCAGTAACCAAGTCCTTTGTGAAAAGGAGGAAACCGATAGACTCATCCAAGGTCACAGAGCAAGTTAGGGACAAAGCAAAGACAGGAGCTCGTTTTATGTGATCCTTAACAGAGATAGCATATTGAAAATTTCATTTCAAGCAAGAATGTATTCATGTTCTCCAGGTAACCTAATTGGTGAAACATAATCTAAAGAATAGAACTCAGTATTTAGAATATGAAAATGCATGGATTAATACATTAAGAAACATGGCAAATTCTAGATTTAAAGTCCTTTTACATTCGACCTCATTTCTATGAGAATAAAATGCTTACACTAACAGTTACCAGGAAAGTAAAAATAGTTTTGAAAAGGTGGTCTTTTGGAGTTGTTAGAGCTCA